AAAAATTTTAATTAATTCTTAATTAAAATCTTAATTAAATTCATTATTACAAAAGTATTCCTTCTCCTCCTTTATTTTAGAGGTGAAAAAAAGTAATGAATTTTTGATAAAAATGTCCAAAATTGCAATAGGTTTAATTTTTTTTTTTCTGAAATTCCACAAATTCCTTTACAAAAATTACAATTTAACTAGGAAAAAATATGAAAATAAACAAAAAAAAATTAATTGAAAAGAAAATTTGAAGTGTTTTTTATATAATGATTCTTATATTAAAAAGTTAGTAAATTAATAATTGAAAGGATAAAATAAAAATAAAAAAATTATGTTTAATATTTAGATCTTAATGGCATTAAAATATAAATATAAGGAAATAATTAGTTTAATTATATTCAAGAATTTAAATGAGCATTTAGATACTTTGAATTATATTCATTATCAGTATGACAAGTTAAAATAGCTGACACAATTGTAATGAGTTTAAGCTTCTTGTTAATTTATTATCGTCATTTTAATTAAGTTAATTGTAATAATTTTTAAATAATTTTAAATGTCATGCATCAAAATACTCGTAGCTTACATTAAATTCAATAAAAATCAACGCCTTCGAGGATTTAAGAATTAAATAATGGTTTTAAAAACGGAGTAAATAAATTTTACTTTAAAGGTAAAATATTTGATTAAAATATAGGAAAACTGTTCGAAGAAAGCTTAAATTGTAAAATTTAGATAAGCTTTTAAAGACTAAATATAGCTTTGATAGAATAAAATAATAATAGAACCGGCCTTTCGATGGTTTTTGCGAAGGAAAATGGAAGATAGAAGGTAAAAATAAATTAGATGATAGGTAAATTGGATTGTCTTTCACGAATTTCTATGAAGAAAACTCTATGGAACCCAAGGGAAAGATAAGAATTCTTTTTTAGTAGCAAAAAAGGCACTAAAAATTGAACACAAAATGCTAAAGTAATGGAAAAATCTGTGCTATGATCTTGAGAAATTTAAGACCGTAGCATAGAAATTTTATCTAAAATACGATAGGAACGAATCAAATAATCATTTACATCTTTGAAAAACGACTTCAAAAATAAAAGAAAAAAAAAAAAATATGAAAAGTTTTACGATTGAAACACGCATTAAGAAAAACATCAATATATATATTAAAAATATATTATATATTTGACGAATTTAATTAGATATAGTAGAAGAAAATGGGGGAAAAACGTTCTAAGTATTCAGTAAACAAAGTGCTTTATGTGACTATAAAATTGCTGCAGGATAGAATTTTCTTATTTTCTACAAGAAAGGACGTAAAGAATTTTATTACAAACAAAATAAAGTAAGTTGTTATGACTTGATTAAATAAGTTTCAGAAAAAGGGTCTTTTTATAGTTAAAAAAGTCAACTTTTGTTCTTTAATAGTGTATTCTTTAGACAATATATTAAATTTTAATTAACTTGTTAGACACTTATAAAATTTGCACCACTTTTTTTATTATCCTTAAAAAGGAAAAAAACTAATTAACATAGTTTAAATTATAAGATTTTCCTTACTAAATTTTAACAACTATTTTTTTAGGGGGTTAGAAATCAATTTTTTAAACTATGTAACCTTTTTTTTTCTTCTTCCTCCTTTCTTGGAATTAGAAGTTTCTTTACCAGAGAACACATTATACCTTGTCATTAAAGGTGCTTGAAGATAAATCACCAAAAAATGAGAAATTTACGATTTGGGTGGAGTTCAATAAAATGTATGAAGAATGTTCTCTTGTATCGTTAATGTTGAACAAATAATTTAATGTACTAACTTGTCATTACCTGAGTTTATACGAAGAGTTTATAAATATATAAATAAAATAATTGATTTTTATTTTCCTACTTCTGTTATAGGCTACATAACAAAGGGAAATAATGGCGATCGGTCAAAAAAATGACTCCTCCTCTCAAGATTTTTATATTATTGGTCTCAGGGGTGCTTGAAAATTCGAGAAATGCAAAATAATTCGGGTTTTTTCCCCCTGTATCTATGGATGTTAGTGTGTGTGGAGAGGTCACGATTTTGTTCACCCTCTTTGCAGCTTAATAACTCCTGTGTTTTTTGTCGAAAATTTCTGAAATTTTGCAGAGAGGTTTATGTATTAGGAGGATTATTGCTATTAAATTTTGGTATTTAAAGGTCGAAGTGGTGGGGAGATAGAGGGGGTCGTATGTCGTATCTCGAGTAGTGTCGGACTTAATGACGATTTTACTCGTTATTAACATTTATAATTTTTTTATAATACTCATCCCTACCCTAAAAATTAAACTTTCTGCCATTTTATAATAATTAAAAATATAAAAAGTTTTTTTAAATATTATAACAGATGGCGTCACCAAATTTGCTGGTAAAGTTAAGCAACTCGTTATTGGATTTTTTATTCGTTGAATCATCAATTTGTTATTAAATTTTGATTGAGATATAGGGAGAAATATTTATTTCACGTAAGCAGCATTATAAAAATAGCAAATTTATTTTAAAAAATAATTTATATCAATTGCATAAAAGCAATCTTTGCAGCTTCTTAGAAAATATTTTCTATATAAGACGGTTTCAAAGTATTTTCTGTATAATCTATAACGGGATTTAAAGCCGATTAAATTAAGAAAAAAAATGTTTTTTCTTACAAAAATACTTATAGTTCGATTTATCAGTTCCTCTTGTAAATTGTTAGATACAAAAACGAACTGCATTCGTAAAATATATTCTACAACTGAACTGTAATATTTTTTCGTTTTCTTCAAACAAGAAGATAAGAAATGGATGAAACGATGATGGAAATGCAAATATTTTATTCTGCTTAAAGTATTAAAAAAAAAAAGATAAATTATAAAATAATGAATAAAGAATTAAATATTTTAAATCAGCAATAATAAAGGTGAATCGTCGAAAATTAAAACTAATTCATAACAAACTTAATTTAAAGAATCGTGTTTTTTTTCTTTTATTTCCAATTAACTTAATTTATTTTAAATATAATAAAAATTTTAAGATTTTTTTAATAAGTTTATTTATTTATTTTTATAATATACTTTGGAAGTTCTCTGTGGAGCTTCCCAGAACATGAATATTTGAAACTTGATATCAAAAACTATTCTCTCTTTCTATTACATTTTAATGCAAATGAAGAACAATTAAAGCTAAGACAATATTTAAATAATATAAATATTTATATATATAGAGGTTGTTTAAAAGTC